CGCTCACCTGAAGAGAAGCATGAGGGCCTGGAAGAAGGTGCGAAAGTTATTGTGCTCAGTGATTTGGAACTCATCCTCATCACTGTCCTCATCCTCCACGTCGATGCCGATGTTGCCAAACACCTGGGGAATCGGAGGGTGATGACCAGGGGCAGCCATGCCCCCAGTGGCTTCAGGGAAACTCCACTCAACCATCATGGCTTTCTCTCCAAACTGGGTTCCCCTGACCCACCCCTGCCTCAGGACAGTGGCCTTCCCAGGGAGGGCTCTAGGGACACTAGGGGACTGGCACTCACCTGCATCCCGATGATGGCGTAGATAAAGAAAAGCATGGCAATCAGCAGACAGACATATGGCAGGGCCTGGTGGGAAGGAAGGTAATGAAGGAGAGTGCCAGGGGGGCTTCTTACCCCCACCATTTCCCTCCCTTGTCCCAGCGCTCTGCCCCATGGGGCTAGTGGCCCCATGCTGTGCCAGAGTGGTGCCAAGGCTTGGTGGGCCTCTTTGAAGCCATAGTGGCAAGAAGGTATCAGGGGCATTCCCTCTGGAGCTCTCAAGCCACACCAGGGGCAGGCGGTCTAGAGAAGAGCCGTGCAGATCACAGACTCTCGGCAAAGTGCACCACAGAGGCATTTCCACCTGATTTCTACTTTCAGCCAGAGCAGGGGTGGGGGTAAGATCTTCTCAGCCCTAGACTTGCATCAGGGGCTCACCTTGAAGGACTGCACAAAGGTCCAGAGAAGAATTCGGATGGTGTAACCCTGACGGAGGAGTTTGATGAGCCGGGCAGCTCGGAAGAGGCGGAGAAAGCTCAAGTTGATGAAGTTATTCTGGGGAGATGGAGAGAAAAGTGTGACCATCCACCCACCCCCGGGGGCTCAGAGCCGTCACCACTCACAGAGGCCCCTACATGAAGCCAACCAACAGGAAAAGCAAGCCAGACCCCAAATAAGGAGGGAGAGAAAGCACTATTAATGCAATGGTGCGGAGGAAAAACGTCGAAAAAGGAACAAAGTTGGGGGGGGGAGAGGGTGGAAGGGAGGAAAAGGCAACTCAAAAGCATAAACCCTCCCTGCCAGCCCCACCCGCAATGGGGGAAAAGGAAAGAAAAAGGAAGGAAGAGAAAGGAACCGGGTGGGGTAGGGGTGGGGAAGAAATAACAAAAGAACAAGGAAAAGAAAATATATCCGAATCATCCAATCAGGAAAAAAATCGAGATGGTTTTTGTTTCTCCCAACAACCAAATGCACTGAGACGATAGGACACAAGCGGGTCAAGTTGCCGAATCCATCACACGTGTACGATGCACAAACACCAGGGCGGGGTGGGGGTAGCCAGCGCGCTCAGGCCTGGTGGACATGTGCGGGTTCCCAGGGCATGTTACGCTCCAGGCCAGAAATGCATCTGTCGTGGGACTCAACGGGCACCCTGCCCTGCCCTGCCCTGCCGAGCTGCCCACCCGCTCCTGCCCGCCCTGACCTCACCCCACGGCCAAGAGGAGCAGCGGCTTGAGCCAATCGGAGAAGCAGAAGAGCATCTTTTCTTACCCCCTTGGCGAGCGGGAATGGGGAGGACGGGAGGGAGCTGGGGCTGGTCGGCTGCAGGGCGAGTCCTCGCTGCCCGCTGAGTCGGAGAAGATGCATTTGGGGCCCTTTTCCCCCCTCTCAGGGATGGCTTCTCAGCTTCTGGGGCTGGGTGGAGTAGCACGGGACCAGGCCTGCGGGAAGCAGGAAGTACGCAGCGCCCGTGGGTGGGTGAGCTCGCAAGCAGCCCAGGCCCACCGAGGGGCTGGTGCTGGAGGTGGGGCCTCCCTGCCCCCAGGACCTCCCTGCGTGGACCTTGCCTCTGCTCAAAGACCCCCTGACTAATCATTGCCTCTACCTCCTCCCGCCCAAGCCGGGAGAACCCCCCCAGGGAAGGGGGGTGGTCAGCTGGGAGGGGAGCCAAGAGAGCAGCAGGAGGTGGGCTCTGGCTGCCCCGGGGGTGGGGGGGGTGGGGGCTTGCCTGCTGGGGCCTCAGGGTCGCTGCTGGGGGACAGGCGGCTCAAAGTCACAAATGGACCAAATCTGGCTGGTGAAGCTATCTTGTTGGGCCTGAGCAGTTTTGTTTTGTTTCCATTAAAAAGAGTTGCCAGTGTTTAAAAATCAGATTTCTCCCCCAAATCTGGCGATCTGGGCAACTCTGGACCTGCCTCCAGGTTGGCAAAAGTTAGCTGGGGCTTAGATGTGGCTGCCCCCGTGACGCAGGCCACATGCCCTCCAGTTTGCCGAGGTCCCCCACGTCCTAGAAATGGCACCCGCTTTCCTGGCCTATGGCACCTGCTTCGATGCTGGAGGCGTTGGAGTGTGAGACCTCTGCCTCAGGCAAACAAGGAAAGCTCCGCTGGTCAGTCCACTGGCAGGCTGGAGGCGGAGAAGCTTTATCTAGAGGAGCCCTAGACACAGGCCTTGTAGCCAGGTTTCCACTGGCCTAGCCCTCACCCCTCAAATGGCACAGGGGTGACCACACCAGTCGCCCTGACAGTCACAGCTCCCCTTTTGCTCTCAAAAGTTCGGATGATGAATTCTCTATGGACATCCTACTTGGTGGCTCCTGGCGGCTTCCCAGCTACTGGGTCTGGCCTGGGAGCTGAGAGGCAGGGATGGGAGTTCAAGGAATTTCTGGAGTTGACAAGAGGCCTCTGGACTGGCTGGCAAAGTCTAGGATGCTTGTTGGGACCCATCAGTTGGCCCTTAGGCCTCTAGGATGGGGAAAGGGCTGGGAGATCCTACCCTGACCATACCGGGCCCAACCGCTATGAGAATGTTCCAAGGGCCTCGAATAAGCGCCCACACCCAGCTCAGCTGAGAGTCACTCACCCCCTGTGCCCAGCTGACCTGGCTCCCAGCCCTGCCTGGCCACCCAGCTCTACCTGGGGATGGGGCCGATGGCCCCAGGTGTCCCCAGCCCCTCCCGACCATCCCCAGAGTACAAGCCATCCCTTCACAGGGCGGGTCATAACATGTGGACTCTGCCCAGCATGCAAAGGCAGGCGGGCCTGGAGCAGCCTCCAGGGACTCAGGGTAGAGCGGGGGGGAGCCTGCCACCATGCAAGAGAAGCAAGGGGGTCTCGCAGGGAGACGCGTGCAGAGAGCATGCTGCCCTTCTTGGAGTGGAGGGAGGAGACACATGGGGGAGGTAGGGGGTGGAGATGAGAGAGGTCCAGGGGATGGGGCATGGGATGGTGCTTGTCTGCCCTCATCCACCCCTCCATCTCTTCTTGGTTCTGCATCGAGTCCTTCGTGTGCTCACAGAACTTCTGGTGACTTCCCTTTTCCTAGCTTCCATCTTTCCGTCCGCAGCCCAAGAAGGAGCGGCTGTGCTCTCCTCCAAGCCTGCCCTGTGCTTCCCGGTTCAAGGCTGATGGGGTGGGATGCAGGCCCTGAAAGGCTTGTCACACTCAGAAAGACGTGAGAACCAGCCATCTGAAGGGTCTGGAGAAATCCTGCCACTTGCAGACCCCACCTCAGCTGACCTTGCCCCTGTGCTCCAGATCCCATAACCACCTGCCTACTTGACTTCTTCTGGGGCGCCCTTAAAGGCAACTCAAACCCTCTGTGCTCTTCCCCCAACCTGGCCCTCTTCTGGCATTCCCTAACTTCCATCTCCCAGTTCAAGCCAGACTCAGATCCCTCCAGGTACCTTCCTCCCCCAGCCCAGACCCAACCCATCCCCAGGTCCCGGAAAAGCCCCTGCTCAGGGGGCCAGTCCCCTCTCACGGGGACCCCGGTGCTCCCTTCCAGCCCAGCCTCCTGCCTGGCTGCTCCCGCGCAGCCTCAGCCATCTTATCTAATCACACTTCCGATGCTGCCCCTGCTCCAGATTCTCTCAGGTTTCCACGAGGGCTCATCCCCTTCTGCCCTCTTCACTGTCCCTGGGTCAGCCTTCCTTCGCTCTTTGCTCCAGCCACACTCCCTCACCTGTAGACCCAGACTCCCGCACGATTCCTCTTGCTACCGGGCCTTTGCACGTGCTGTTCTGGGCCTCGAATGCTCTTCTCCCTCCTCTTTTGTTAACAGTGCTTATCCTTTAGTTCATAACACAGCCGAAACTTCAGGTGGGTTTGAGAGCGGTTATTTGACCAATGCCCGGCGTCCCCCACTTTGGGTTTAGGCGAGGGGGTGGTAGTGATGGTGTCCACTTCAGCCCACCACTCTGCTTGTGGCACCACATTTGGAATCGTGAAATGTCTGGTGGATGAGTGCACGTGGTGTTGCTAGCTCGGGAGGGATCCCGGTGTAAAGGTGCCATTCAGGGTGTTTCAAAGGGGCGCAGAGGTGGTAGGGATGAGGCGGAGGCAGATGGAATGTACCAGAGTAAGAAGTGTGCAAGGAGCCAAGTAAGGGAGGTGGGAGGGATGGAGATGGTGTGTGCAGGGTGGATGGATGGATGGAACAGAGAGGGACAGGTATGCATGGGTGTTTGGTGGGGAGAGGAGAGAGAGGAAGAGCACCTGAACAAGAAAGTAAGGGGGGAGAGTGTGGATGTGGGAAGTGGGGGGCACACGGGTCCAGTGACTGTGTGTATGTGGGGCACGCAACCATGTGAAGACCAGGGCTCCAGGGGAGGGCCTCGTTTGGCCTGCTCCGAGTTTCCCTCCTCTGAGAGTCTTTGCCTGCCTGCTGCCCAGCCCTCGGACCTCCTCCTCGGACTTGGCCAGTCAAACCCACGGGCCTGGAGTGGGGTGAGCTATCCTGGAGCCCAGGCTCCATGAAGGTGAACAGGGGACAGGAGCGAAGAGCGGGTGGCCAAGGGCTCTGAGTGTAGGGATGCGGGTGAGGGATGGGGCGGGAGACCCAGCCAGCTGACTAGTCTTGTGGGAGGTGCTACCAGGGCAAACCCAGTTTTCTCTTTGCAAAAGATGCAAACCAACCCATGCAGAAAACCCCAATTCAGAACCCAATAAAAACAATGAGGAGTGGGGTGAGAGAGAGAGAAAGAGAGGAGGAGGGAGGGAGGGAAGGAGGGGCTGCAGGAATGGGGAGGGAGTGGGAGTGGGCTGGGGAGACAGACAGACAGATGGGGGAGGGGGGCTGGGAGGAGCATCAAGCAACCCAAGTCCAAAGCCCAGGACAGGACGTGCAGTGCTGACGCGAGAAGATGCGTTCACAGTTAATGTAAGGCATTTAGACTTCAGAAAGAAGTAAGACCAACCGGATTCTAGATGCAGATGTTGAAGATGGAGGGGGAGCGGGCGGGCGGGGGCAGTTGGGGAGGCGTGTTCAGCGTTTTTTAGGTTGATTTGTAACCAGTGCCAAAAAACCAATGGGTTTCGGTTCCCGGGCGGGGAGTGGGGGTGGTGGGTTGGGAGATAGTCATTGGTGTATGAACACACAGACCACGTCATGGATGAACAAATGAATTTCATAGTGCATTTTGATTGGATGAGTTTTTCAGACGGCGTTGTGCCAATATACAGTTTAAAGAGCAGGCATGAAAAGAGACAAGACAAGAAACACAGTCATTATCCATTGAACGCAGGGCAAACCCACGTCACCCGGCCACTTGGGGGCGGCAGCTGAGGCCCAGGGGGCCCCCCCCCCGAGCCCTCTCCCCCGCAAACCCTGGGGACTTGCCCTCGCAAGGGTCTGGCTCTCGCTGCCTCAGCCTGACTGAGCTCTGGCCTGACCTAGTGGGCTTACCTGGGAGCCAGAAAGGGGTGGCTGTGGGCTCCTTGCCCGGCAGGTTGGGAAGGTAACATCCTAAAAGGGTCCACACACCCACCCTCTATCTTCCCTCCAGATGATTCTAATTCAGGGCCCCGGGGGGATGGGGCGGGGGAGGTGGTTGGTGAACAAACAGCAGACCCAAATACCTTCACAGTAAATAATAGCAATAATAGTAACTGCCATTCGGGAACGATCTATTTCCTGGCAGGTTCTGTGCCAAACCCTTCACGTGGATCGCTCGCACTTGTTAAAAGCTGCCGACTCTCTCCCTAGAACGTAAGCCCCGTGGGGGCAGGCATTCTTGTCTGTTTTCGCTTTGTTCACGGTCTCTGGGCACTTAACAGCAATGCCTGGCATGCAGCAGGCGCTCAGTGAATGCCTACTGAATGCATGAGTGAATGTGGAGCTTGCAGGGATCCAGTGAGGTTAATTGCAACAGTTATCCCCATTCTACATGAGAGGAGGTGATCCACGCCACCCAAAGTCAAACAGCTTGTAGGGAGGGGTGTTTGATCACTGTAATAGTCCTGATGTCCTTGAACTGGGCCCTGTGCCTCGTCCTCTCGCCCCTCCCTATCCTGCCAGCCTGGAGAATGGGCCCTTGGGGTCCAGTCCTATGGATCTCTTACTGGCGACTGGAGGTTTCAACCAACTTCCTCCACTTGCCTGGCTGGGGTGCTGGGCCACCCTTCCGACCTCTTGACCCAGAGGGCCACTGGTTCAAAACTGTAGAGTGCTCAGCGGGATGGTGAGTTATTTTGACTGCCAGTTGGAGCTCCGGATCCCTTAGAAGCTTAGGACAGAGAGGAACTGAGGCTCTGGCACAGGGGCCAGGTTGCAAAGCCCAGTGGGGACAGCCCCTTTGGCCTCTCTAGAGGAAGGTGTTAGGCATGGGATGAAGCGAAGTGAGAATTTCTGGCTCAATGGAGCTGAAGGCAGAGGTATGGCCGGGATACCACTTGGAAAGGAGGTGTTGGGGGCTCTAACGGGGCCACCAGTGAGCTCTCAGGAGTCACCAGGTCTCGGTGCATGACCTTAGGCAGGTCCTTCACTTGCCCGAGTACCGAGCATTAGCTTCCCCATCTGTGAAATGGGGCCACACCCCAACCAGGTCTATTATTCCCTTTTCTCTGCCTATTTTGTACATCCTGCCCCAGCCTCCCCGCCTGGCTCCCTGGCCTTCTGGCTCCCTTCTGGCTCAGCTTGGCCAATGGAAGGCCCTGGCAGGAGATGGAGGGTGGAGGAGAGATGGGCTTGGGTATTTCTGTCCCTCAAGGTCCACGGCTCCTGCCAGGCGGCCTCTCCCCATTCCAGCTCGGATTTCCTCCCTGCTTCAGCACCTGGACAGGTAACAGCTCCCCATGGTGGTGGGGTGCTGGGCACTTTGCCATCCTGGTCTGCCCCCCTCCCCTCCTTTCCGTGGGTGGTCTCTGCTTTCCAGTCCCTTCAGTTGAACCCTCCAAGGGAATTCTTTTCTGTCCTGACCCCCCTGACCTGTACCACAAGCTAATTCATGTGAACCGCTTGGCACAGCGCCTGTCATGCAACTGAGTGTGCCTTTCTTGCCAGGCATTATTTTTATTGCTATTATGATGAGGTTGACGCCCCCTCCCGCCCTTGGCTCCAACAGTCTTTGCCCTTTTGCTCTCCCTGTGAGGATCTCCTGCCCTCCCTCCGGTCTCCTGAGGGCAGCCAAGCCTGGGCTCACTTTCAAATGGCCAAGGAGGGGGTCTGAGATAGGAGTTCTGGGGCCCTGAGTCTTTCAGATGGTGTGGCCTGTGGGGCCACCGCAGAGGGGTCCAGAGACCCCCCCAAGTCACAAGCCCCCCAAGCCTGGGGATGGAAGAGGGTGGACATCCTGGGGACCTTCCTAAGGCCCTGACAGTGGTGTCCCCTGTTGGCTCAAGGGCCATGGCTCCCTCCTGAACCTCCCCCCATGAACCAGAAGGTGGTTAGTTCAAGCAGAATGGACTTGAAGCTGGTTCTTTCTGGGTCCCCAACACTGTGTGGTGTTTGGGGGCAGGGCTCAGCCTTGGGGTCCTTTAATTGTCTCAATCCGTATTGTATATTCAGAAGTCAACAGCCACGAGGCAGGGGAGTTCACACTGCAGAGCTGGCCACATAGCCGTGGCTTTGGGCTCCCCCGTCTCCCTGAGTTGCCCTCCTGAGGGGCTGCCCTTGCCCCTGGGGTCCCCGCTTCTCCCTCTTTGGTCACAGTCAAGTGCTGGCCCAAGTCAGCTGTGGCTTTTGGGACTGCTGTTTCTGAAAGGTTCCCCCCATTCTCCACCCAGCCAGGAGTTACCCACAGAGAAGCTGGCGGGAGACTTACCCCAAACTCAGTCACGAGGATGTCAGTGATGCTGCCCAGAACAGTCACAAAGTCGAAGATGTTCCAGGCATCGCGGAAATAATTCTAGAATGAGGACCCACAAGACAGGGATGCCAACACAGGGCTCCACGCCTGGCTGCCACGGCTGGCCCCGGGGTACATTAGGGGCACAGCTGCCGATCAACCCGAGTGCCCGCAACACTTCTGGTCATTCAAATAGCACAATGCTGCTGTCTGGGCTGCTCAGGATCATCTGTTCTGAGCTCCCCCTTCCTGGGACCCCATGGCTCTCCCAGCCCCAGAGGGGGCCTCCACAGCCCGATTCAGCTCCGCTGGAGAGAGAGGGCTACCCTGTGGGCTTGCCTGTCTCTCTGACACATCTGAGGGCTCCCTGACACGCCAGATGCTTTATAAATGATGTCACTGGGATCCTCATGTAGGCCCTCGGGCAAAGGATTATCAACCATATTTTACGAGGCGACTGAAGCTCAGCCTGATGCTACTCGCCCATCTGAGGTGAGCAGCACAGATGTGAAGAGTCAGGATTTGAACCCAGGCCTGGGTGAGTCCAGAGTTTGTGTTCAATACCCCCCTCGTTATAGCTTGCTGAGAGTGGATTGTGGGTTCACATCCCCACTTTGCTAACATCCTGCTGTGTGGCCGTGGGCCAGTGACTTAACCTCTCTGTTCTTCCACCTCCTGATCTGAAGAAGGGGGATAGTAACAGGGGCACAAAGGCCTTCCAGGCACACGCCAGGCTTCACTGCCTGGGCCCCCTGGTGGTTCGATGGGGCTGTGTGTCTAGTTACAGCCAAGAGGTTTTGAGCAGAGACAGTGTGAGCCACCTCCTGGCCAGCGCGGGACTCACCAGGACTCTTTTAACCCTGGGCTTGGTGACCATCAATGTTCCAGGTGGCGGCTGCTCTGTGGGCCTGGGTCCCTGTGTAACTACCAGGCAAAGAGCCCCCCTTCCCCTTGCTGAACGTCAACAAAACCTTTGTTGACCAAAGTTACTGAGATGTGGGGGTTGTTTGTTATTGCACCTAAACTTGATCTATCCTGACTGCCCTCAAGGCTCAGTGCAACCCACACCCCACGCAGGCCTTCCCAGCATCCCCACAAAGCAGAGGCCAGGTTGGGGCTCGGGTCCCATTCTGAGGGGTCCATCTGAGCGTCTGACCCTGTGGCAGCCCCTCTGCCTCACAGAGAAGAACCCAGGCTTTGGAGCTGTGCTTTCCAGGATCAAATTCTTTCAGCATGTGTGAGTTAAATGTCCTTGGAGTTGGACTGGTTGGGCCTGCCCTCTTCTGGAAGACTGGGGTATAACAGCAATCGGATCATGAATGTGAATGTAGGCGAGGAGTTCCGTTATACAGTAGGCGCTCAATGAATGGAGGCTATTTTATACTCAGCTAAAAGGAATTCGGGTTCTACTGGCACTTTTGGTATTTTAGCAGATGCTGCTGAGGCCCTGCACATATCCCCTCATATTTCGATGACCCCCCTTCAGTTACTCTGCCCAGGGGCATCTTCTGGTTGCAAATTTGCTGCGGAATTAACAGCTCCCCTGGGAGTGGCCCTTGACTCTGACTGATGGGCACTGGAGGATAAATACCCCAGCTCTCTCCTCTCCTCAAGTGGAAGGACTCTGAAGTATGTGCTCTCTGCTGCCTCCTGTTGATTCTCAATGGAACTGTGCCCCATAACACCCTGTACTGGCTGTCTTCTGGCTCCTGCCTCACTCCCCCTCCCCCACATTGAGCTTCCTGGGTTTTCAGATAAACTCCTTGCACTCAATCCTTATCTCAGGCTGTGTTCTGGAGAGTCCCAATGAAGGCGACTTTCTAGGTGTCTGGCCATATGCCTCAAGCTCCTGGACTAGAGAGCTCCCCCCATCGCCTAAATTGCACATGGTGATCTTGGGGCTTCATCTAAGCTGGAGGGGGAGGCTCCAGGCAGGCCCCTGTGAGATGGTCAGGGGTGGGGGAGATAGAGAGCCCCAGCCCTCGGGTAGAACCACTTCATTACCAGAAGATTGACCGGGGATTCAAAAATCACACAGCACAGCTGTGTTGGGCAGGTCCCGTGCCTGAGCCTACACCACGCTCCCCACGGCCCAGGGAGGCTGGGTGTATGGTACTCTTAGCTTGTAGATGTGGAAACGGGAGAAAAAGGCCAAGTGCCTTGCTTGAGGCCAGGCAGCTAGAAAGGGGCTGAGGCAGGATTTGCACCCTGATACGGGCACGACAGAGCCTGATCACCGCCCCCTATACATGTTCTGTGATCCATCCTGGTGGCATCCCCAGGACTGAAATGCTGAGTTGCTCTGGATGCAGGGTGCCTCCCCCGCCTGCCTGATGTTCAGCACAGGACCTGACAGCCCAGGCTGTCCCTTGGACTCTCTTTGGGTATTTGTTAAAAATACAGAATCGGGGGGCGCCTGGGTTGCTCAGATGGTTAAGCGTCTGCCTTCGGCTCAGGTCGTGATCCCAGAGTCCTGGGATCGAGTCCCACATCAGGCTCCCGGCTCAGCAGGGAGCCTGCTTCTCCCTCTCCCCCTGTACATGCTCTCTCTCTGTATCTCTGTGTCTCAAATGAATAAATGAAATAAAAAAAATACAGATTCGGGGGGCCCCCACCTGACCAAGTGAATCTGAACTTCTGGGGTTGGCTCTGGGGCATCATTCAATTTTAAGAAATCTCCCCAAGTGCTCCTCCTGGGTAACAGGGTTGGGAGCCCCTGCCTAGGAGGAGAAAAGTGGGGTGATGAGCCGTCCTGTGACCTTCCTGGCATTTATGGGGCACTCCATGCCAGGCTTCACCCTCACTTTAAGCAGACACACTTGATTTGTGCTGGAGTTTGCACAAGCTCTTCTGAGGAAGAGGAAGAGGACGGGCCCTCGAGATGGAGAGAGGTGAGGTGACACAGTCTCGATGTGATTTGAATCAAGGGCTCTCTGGTGCCAACCCTGACACCGTTTGCCACCTCGGGAAGCCAAGGTGAGAAGCCAGCCTCCATCCCACTGAGAGCCTGGCTGAGAGCACAGCCTGTACACCATTCTCCTCAGAGAGGTGGACTCAGTGGGTGGTCAGAAGGGAAGCCATCTTGTATCAAGTGTGAGCTTGACCACTCACTGGGGGATCTTCTTGAAGTCACCCCAACACACAACCCCACCAGTTCAGGTCTTCTTCACTTTTTTTTTTTTTGGCGGGGGGGGACTGTGAATGTCCTTGGCCACCTGGGAAGGCCTTCTTAGAGGAAGCTTTGTAAATGCATGGAATAAAATACCCAGGATTGCAAGGGCCCCTGTTATCTTAAAATACGCTTATCACAATATTTTTTCAATGACCTAATGATTAATGCACTTCTTCATTAACAAACTACATAATTTCTAGCTGTAGGTTTGAGAGTCACCAGCATTTGAAGCAAAGAGGAACACAAACGAAATCTGGAGGTGCCTGCGATCTCTATCACGCACCACGAAAATATCTGATTTTTATCTGTGACCCAGATTGTACCAGTAAAGCTGCAGGGGGCTGTTTGCCTTCAAGATGGAAGGAAATGTGAAAGTCTGGTTAGCGGCTTGTGAAAAATACAGATGTGGGTTTTTTTTTCACATCTGATTTCACAGACACTCCCCCGCCCCCACCCCAGCTGCATCCACAGATCCCTTTAGGGATCAATGTGCCTCCGGTCAAGACCACTTGCATCAGTGGGGGATGAAGGCAAGCTAGTGGGGCCCAGACTGCATTTAAAAAGAAAAGCAAGGCCATCAGGAGAACACACAGCTTCAGAGCACAGGGCACACAACAAGGGCAGACACAGATTTGGGAACATTTCATCTCGGTTGTGTTTGCATGTCGGCATGCTGCCTCCATTGTAAAATGTATGTCTTACTGTGGATTGTGGTTAGAACGGCTGGAAGGCCATGGACTTGGCCTGTCTGGATCTCGGTTTCCTTAAAGTAGATGGTAATTATTCCCACCCTTTGGATCACTTTGAGGAATGACTGCACCAGGACGCGCATGGGACACAGTAACCCTCAACAAGTGTTGGGTCTCGTTGGTGTTACTTGGCAAGCACATGGACGCCTACGTAGGGTCTGTGGGCACTGGAGGGATGCTCAAACCACCACTGGGGCTGGGGGTCTTGGGGCCAGGTGGGGAGACCAGCACCCGCCCACCACCCAGTGCCCCTCCGGGCTTTCCCCCCAACCCACAGCTCTAGCCCCAAGGCCGTACTTACCAGAATCCCAAAAGCCATGACTTTCAACACACATTCCAGAGAGAAGAGGGAGGTGAAGACGATGTTGAATACTCTCAGAGCGTTTTCATAAGCCACCGAGGCCCCATAGAACTGGAGTAGGGAGGAGGAAGGACGGTGGGGTCAGCGGGCAGGGTCAGGGCTGGGGGCGCAGCTTTGTGACTATCCTGTCCTGGGGCAGGCGGGACTTGGACACGGGGCTTCCCAACATCCTGTGGAGGCGACCCAGGCCCCAGGCAAGCCCTTTGTGGGCTGGGCTAATCTTCTCACATCAAAACAAGCACTTAAATCTTGAGTCCTGCCTTAGCATCCCAGATCCCAGGACGGCCTGCCTGATGGCGTTCCCGATGGGATGCAGGAGGATGTCTGCAGAATCTGCTCTGCAGGATTTTCTGTTTTTTTGTTTTAAAGATTTTATTTATTTATTTGACAGAGAGACACAGCGAGAGAGGGAACACAAGCAGGGGGAGTGGGAGAGGGAGAAGCAGGCTTCCCGCGGAGCAGGGAGCCTGACGCGGGGCTCGATCCCAGGACCCTGGGACCACGACCTGAGCTGAAGGAAGACGCTTAATGACTGAGCCACCCAGGCGCCCCTCTCTCTCTTTAGATCCTTACCTATGCACTCCCATAAGACCACTCCCCAGACCAAGACTTAGAACATCTCCAGCACCCCAAAAGTTTCCTTGCACCCCTTTCCAGTCAGCAACCCGCCCCTTCTATTCTGACTTCTTATGAACTCTTCTTGCCCAAACTATTTAATTAGATTCAAGTTTATAACCTTTAGCTCTCAGTACCAGGTTACAGGAGACATGGCAGGTGGAGGAAGAGGTTACAGTACCCCATGAGAAAACCAACACACCCAGAGGTGGGACCATTTTCATTCATCTGGTTTCCTCAAAAAGTCAACAGCATGGGAAAAAAAAGGTACGGGGAAGACAGAGATTTCAAAGACAAAAACCAGAGACCATGTGTAGTCGTTTCGATCTTGGCTCAGAAAACAACTCATGGGGCACCTGGGTGGCTCAGTCGGTTAAACGTCCGACTCTTAATTTCAGCTCAGGTCATGATCTCAGGGTCGTGAGATGGAGCCCGGTGTCGGGCTCTGTGCTCAGCGGGGAGTCTGCTTAATATTCTCTCTCTCCTTCTCCCCTCTGCCCTTCCCCACTTCCAAAAAACAAAAAACAAAAAAACCCAACTCATGCTGTAAAAGACATTTTGGGGACGAGTCAATATGTATCTTAGAGAATTATCACTCATCTTGTCGAGCATAAGAATATGTATTAAGGGGCGCCTGGGTGGCTCAGTTGGTTAAGCGTCTGCCTTTGGCTCAGGTCATGATCCCAGGAGCCCCGTGTAGGGCTCCCTGCTTCTCCCACTCCCCCTGCCCCGCTCCTGCTTTCTCTAATAAATAAAATCTTTTTTTTTTTTTAAAGATTTTATTTATTTGACAGAGAGAGACACAGTGAGAGAGGGAACACAAGCAGGGGGAGTGGGAGAGGGAGAAGCA